ACTAGCTTTTTTAAAAGACGAATAAAATATAAATTTCAACATACTTTTTTTTCTTTCCCCCCCTTTTCTTTCTTTGACACAGGGTCTCACTGTCTCAAAGACAGGCTGAAGTACAGGGGTGTGATCAGAGATCACGGCAGCCTCAAACCCATGGGCTCAAGTTATCCACCTGCCTCAGCCTCCCCGGGAGCTGGAACTACAGATGCACACCACCAAGCCCAGCTAATTTTTGCATTTTTTTGTAGAGATCTGGTCTCACTATGTTGCTCAGGCTCATCTTGAACTCCTGACCTCAAGCAATCCTCCCACCTCAGCCTCCCAAAGTACTGGGATTATAGGTGTGAGTTACTGTGCCCAGCCTAAAAATATATTTAAATGATAAAATATACAAACCTCAGGCAAGGCTGATTCAAGAAAGAGAAGTAAGACATAAATACATGGTATTAGAAATAAAAAGGGAGCCAAGCACAGTGGCTCAGGCCTGTAATCCCAGGACTTTGGGAGGCTGAGGTAGGCGGATCACTTGAGGACAGGAGTTTGAGACCAGCCTGGTCACCATAGTGAAAACTCATCTCTACTAAAAGTACAAAAATTAGCCAGGCATGGTGGCAGATGCCTGTAATCCCAGCTACTTGGGAGGTGGAGGTTGCAGTGAGCCAAGCTCGCACCACTGCACTGCAGCCTGGGCAACAGAGTGAAACTCTGTCTCAAAAAAAAAAAAAAAAAAAAGAAGAAGAAATGCAAAGGGAGATATCAATATAGAGATGCAATAAATATTGATAACACATTTTAATACTATGAGAAAGAATATTTGTGCCAAAAACTTTGAAAACCGTCAATTTTTATAAAATGTTTCTTTTTTTAGAAAAATATAAATCACCAAAATGATTCAATAAAAAAAATAAAACCAGAACAGGTCAATAATCACTAAAGAAACTGAAGCTGTAGTTTTAAAAGTCTCTCCTACCCGCAAAAGCCATCAGACCTAGATAATTTTATAGGCAACCTTTACCAAACCTTAAGGAATAGATAATTCTTGTCTTACAGAAATTGTTCCAAAGAACAAAAACACAGAGAAACCTACCACATTCATTTTAGGAGCCTATCTTAGCTCTAATACCTGAATTGAATAACAATAAAAAAGGTAGGCTTATAATTATTATGATTTATCACTTATGATATATTCATAAATATAAATGATTTAAAATTTTAAAGTAGCAACTGTTCAAAAATCTAATAATGTATACGAAAATAATATAGCAAAACTGTAACAAAAACCCCTAGAGTTCCACATACCTATTCTTTGTCTTTAGGCATGAGAACCCTGATTGTTAGCTATGTAGTTTACACCCTCCACATTGCTTCCCAGCTACAAGGCTATACCCCACAGCCTCCCTTGCAGCTAGGTGCCACCATGTGATGAGATTTTAGCCAATGTAATGAAAGTGGTTGTGTGTAACTTTCAGGAAGTCTTTTTAAAAAGGAAGGACTGCATCCCTCTTCCTCTTTTCTCCTTCTCACTGGTCAGAATGCAGACATGCCTGGAGGAGCTTGAACTTGAGGTCCCTGGACATGAAGTGATGTACAAAATAGAAGGAGTCTGGAGTCCTGACATTGCACTCCCTACATCTAAGCTGGCTTTTTTTTTTTTTTTTTTTAATGAGAGAAAAATACACTTGTTTAAGACACTACTGAGGCCCTGTGACTCACAGCCAAATTTAATCCAACCTGACAATGGGATCAAGCAGGGTTTATCCCAGGAATGAAAGAACAGAAAATCCATTCATATAATTCACCGTGTTACACATTGAAGAAAAATCATGATCATCTAAATAGATTCTAAGAAAGCATTCAATAAAATTCCACTCATGTTCTCTATTTTAAAAAATAAAAATAAGATGTGTAGCCAACTAGGAATAGAAAAGAATTTCCTTAACCTGACAAATGGTATCCATCAAAATATGTAGCAAACATCATCCTGAAAAGCATAGCCACTAAAGTCAATACTACTCAACAGTGAACAGAAGTCCTATTCAATGCAGTATTACAAGAAAAATAAATGAAAAATACAGATTTAAAAGAAATATCTTCATTCGCAGAAAAATAACTGACTATATATAGGAAGCCCATCATGATTTTCAAATAACCTATGAGACTAGTAAGAGAGACCTAATTCAGCAGCAACGTTACTGAATACAAAATCAACATACAAAACATACAAAACCTAACAGTAGAGGCCAGGTGCGGTGGCTCACGCCTGTATTCCCAGCACTTTGGGAGGCTGAGGCAGGTGGATCACCTGAGGTCAGAAGTTTGAGACCAGCTTGGCTAACATGGCAACACCCCGTTTCTACTAAAAATACAAAAAATTAGCCAGGTGTAGTGGCAGGTGCCTGTAATCCCAGCTACTCAAGAGGCTGAGGCAGGAGAATGGCGTGAACCCGGGAGGCAGAGCTTGCAGTGAGCTGAGATTGCACCACTGCACTCCAGCCTGGAGGACAAGAGCGAAACTCTCGCTCAAAAAAAAAAAAAAAAAAAAAAAAAAACCTAACAGTGCTCCCACACACTAGCAGTGCCTAGTTGTAAAATACAATAGAAGAAAAACATCCCAATCACAATAGCCACCATACTGCAAAACACAATCACCTGTCTTCTGGATCATGAAAAATTCTCCTAACTAGCCTTCTCGTTTCCACTATTACTTTCTTCTAATTCATTCTCCACTCAGCAGCTTGTGATCTTTCATGAACATAAGTTAGATCATGTTACACTCCTTTTTTAACCTTTTCATGGCTACTCATTACTCATAGATTCCAAGTCCTTATCATGTCCATGCTCTGCGTAACCTGCCCCCTGCCTGTTCTCCAATTAACTCCCTCCCCACTCCCCTGCCCCACTCCACACCAGCCACATCGACGTTCTTTCAGTTCCCGATGCATGTTAAACTCTTTCCTGCCCCAACACCTCCACATATGCTAGTCCCTCTCCCCAGAATGCTTTTCCCTCCAGTCATCACCTGAGAGTTCTTAGTCAATCCTCGAGTCTCAGCTTAAATGTCACCTGCTTAATCTAAATAAGGTCCTTTCTCTCTTATCTCCTCTTCTTCTTTCATATTCCCACATAATGTGCAATAATATTCCACTACCTATTATATCATAATATGTAGTCATATTTTTAGTCAAGGATTATTCATTGCCTTGATTTCCCCCTAGGCCATAACTTCTGTGAGGGCAGGAGTCATGTCTTTGATGTTTCCTGAAGCATTTAACACAGTGCATAGGAGCTATCATACAACACGTGCTTAGTAAGTATCTGATGAATGAATGAATCAACAAATGAATGACAAGAGTTTGCTGATTTAGCAAGAGTCTCAGCTAGAAGGCCTGCAGCACTCTTCCCAAGATTCAAGGGTTATTAGGAGGAATGGGGGGACCTCCCACCCCCTTGGACCTAACTAGACAGGGAACCAAAAAGCCTCTAAAGGGAGTGAGTGGGCTTGGTGGTCCATGGGATAGCACTAGAGTTGGGGGTGGGCAGGATTCAGACCATAGAGTTGCATCCGTCCATGACTCCTATCCCATCTCTCTGTAATTCAAGTCACAGATTTGCAAATTGGGTTTGCCACAAAATGGTATTTTTCTGAAATCTTTGTGGCACAGTAAAAGTTTGGAGGACAGCAGCTTTAGAAGTCATGCAGGCAACCAGGGCAGCATTCTGCCACCCTCGATGAAGGCATTTATAGCCCCAGGAGCACACAGAACTTCAGGGAGCCAAAGCAGAAGTTGAGAAAAATGGTGAATCCCATAGGAACACCAGAAAGACTTGATCAGACACAAACACAAGACATCCCAAGGACATCCCAGAAATAGCTGGGGAAATCTGGGCGAAGGACGGCAACTAGGAATAGAGCTATGAGGAACCACTGCTAGTGGGACACTAGTTTTTTGTGTTTTGGGTTTTTTTTTGAGACAGTCTCACTCAGTCACCCAGGCTGGAGTGCAGTGGTGCAATCTCAGCTTGCTGCAACCTCAAGCTCTTGGGTTCAACCAATCCTCGTGCCGCAGCTTCTCGAGCAGCTGAGACTACAGGAGTGTGCCACCACGCTCAGCTAATTTTTGTATTTTTAGTAGAGATGGGGTTTTGCCATGTTGGCCAGGCTGGTCTTGAGCTCCTGGCCTCAAGTGACCCGCCCACCCTAGCCTCCCAAAGTGCTGGGATTACAGGCGTGAGCCACCGCACCCGGCCTGGGAGACTAGTTTTATTCCTCTAGTTGTATGCCTGGGAAGCTCAGAATACCATGAAACCATGATGGCCAGCCCCTGGCAAGTTCCCAGACACTCTTTCTCCCCATAGGCACCCAACAACAGAGAGGCCTCTTTCTGGTATCCTCTCCAGAGCTGGCAATGCTAATTCTTCCGTGAAAATTAAGGAGTCAATGTTTCTGAGGCCACCTAATGCCAGAATAGTGGCTGCTGGTAATTGTACTATCTCGGGTACACCACAGACTCAGGCATGTAATAGGTACCCCCGACTGATTAAATGCTTGTGTGAGCCAAGTGAGGAGGAGTGTTGTATCTGCCAGGGGCCCCTGAGAGGCAATCTTCCTGTTTGTTTCTTTTTGAGCTCACATACTTGTACACCACAGGATGTAATAAGGGATTGGCAGATCCTGTCATCCCCTGGAAAGGACAATTGCTGGAGTCCTGCTCAGCACCTACATGTAACCTCTCCCATCCTCTTCTTCCCTGCAACTGCTATCTCCCGTCTGACTCTGAGCACCTGGGGTGGGCATGGGCACAAGAACTCTAGGTTTGATGACTCCCCTGGTGACATCTCTGTGGACAGCCTCTGTGGCTGCTCTGACCACCCTCTGTAAAAAGGCTTGGTCTCACCTCCAGGAAAAGAGGAGGTGCAGGGAGACTGGGCTAGCGGGGACACTATGTAGCCCTCTCTCTCTTCCTCTCCCCCAACAAAGCCTGGGCAGTCCCACCGTGACCCACCTCTTGTCCTCTTCCACCTGCACGCCAATGGAGTGGAACTCCCTCCGGCTCCTGTTCTCGGTGTCTGAATCTGAGATCGTCTCCACCTGGTGGCAGGGTGGAGGAGTCAGTGGCTGTGGCGAGCCAAGGTGAAAACCCTTCCCGGGGAGAATGGCTAGCAATGGCTGCGCCCCAAGCCAGCTGGCAGGTCCTGCAAAGACCATCCGCCTGAACAAGATGAGAGACCCAGGCGATCGGTCACAGGCCTCAAAGTGGCAACCACTGGGCACGGCCCTCCATCCCTCCATTAGCCAGGACGAGGGACGAGGGAGTGGGCGGAGGCTAGCTGGAGCAGCCCCGTCGATGTCCAGGCACGGGGCTCACTTGCAGCTCAGGGGAAGCCAGGAAGAAGGTCGATATATCCAGAAGGCCGCTTCCGGCCCCTCACCCCAGCCCCAACCCCAACCCCAACCCGCCAGGCTCCGAGCCCTTGTGGGCGCCTCCCCGTTCCATACCTGCACCCCAATGGACGGCCGCCACTTCCGCTGCCGCGCCAGGCTCCTTAGCTCCTCCCTGCCAGGGATGGTCTTGATGATGAGTGTGGGGGGCTTGGGGCTGGCCCGGGGCGGCACCGGCGCCAACTCCAAGGTGCGCGCACCCATGGCGGGGCCGTCCAGCCCGTCGGCGGAGCTGCAGCGCCGGGCGGGGCCCTCGGCTGCCGTGAAGCTCTCGTGCGCGGAGTCCGTGCTGCTCTGGGCGGTGATGGAGATGCGGGGCGGGGCCTGGCTTCCCGGCGGGATGGGGGGCGGGGCCTTTCTGAAGTTGAAGGCTGTGGCCGGCGGGCGCAGAAGCGCAGTGCGTGAGGCTAGCGGCCCTGGCTGGGTCCTGGGCCCGCGCCCGACTCCCACCCCAAGAGGCCCTACGGGACCCTGCAGCGGCTGCTGCACACACGCCAAGGGACGCTCTCCCCGTTATATCCGACCCCGGGAGCGAGCGATCTGCGCGGGGTCACAGCACAGTCGAGGGGGTGGCCAGAACCCGGACCCAGGGCGCTCTCCAGCCTAGGGCCGGGCCAGGGGCAGGGAGGTGTACTCACAGGAGCCGGGCCTCCCTGAGACAGCGGCAGGGGTAGCGAGGAGAGGCAGGCAGTCGTCGTCTTGAGAGCAGCCGGCCTGGATGGCCCGGAGGTAGCTGTGGCTCCGCATGCGGAAACAGCCGGGCAGGTCCAGGGCGTCCACGGCCTGGGACTCCAGCTCCCCAAACACGGACCCGCACACGGCCTCCAGCTGCTGGTTCAACTCATCGCTGAGCTAGAGGGCAGGGGGTCGGGAGGACAGTTACGAGGTGCCGGGAGGGGGTGGAAATCCCTGGGGTGCTCTGCCTTAGGAAGACCTCTCTGTATCTGCAGAGGCTGTGGGCCACTCTTCCGCGTTTGAACTAAAAGGAACCCTCTTTGCAAACAAAGATGGGGTCATCTCTGCTCCATTCTAGCTCCCTAGGCTTGTCTTGGGGCCCAGTCTTTCCTCTAAATATCCCACCCCCACCCCCACCTCCACCCCACCTATGCCTCTTCCAGGTGTCTGGCTGGCTGCACCCCAGGCTGCAGACCACCATGTTTTCCTCTCCACCTAGTCCCAGCCCCTGACGTTTCTCTCACCTGACCCCAACAGAGAGGACCAGGGACCTGGCATGCACCCTCCTGCCCAGTATGGGGGTGGGGACTACATGGAGGACACCTTTTGTTTTATTATTTATAATCCATTACATTACAAAATTGACTGAAAAATGATATATATACCCATTAGTTTCCGTCCTGCCACTTGGTATTTTATATGTATGTTTATATTTTATATGTATGTTTATATTTTATATATATATATATATAAATATAAAATACCAAGTGGCAGGACGGAAACTAATGGGTAAGTGATGGAGCAAAGTTATTAACCTACCAGTGTCCCAAGCCTTCCCCCACCTTCTACCCACTCACTCGGGTTCTGGCTTAACCTGTGGGCTCCTTCTCTACCCTCCCCCACTGAGGAAAGCTTAGCCATTGCTGGATGAGGTTCTTGGTTTTGTTTTTGGTATTTTGGTGGTGCAGAATCCATGGTGTTAAAAAAAAAAAAAATTTTAAAGCATGAAAAAAAGCAAAACAAAAATTTTGTTCATGGAACTGTGCCGCACACCACCACACGAAGACTAAATATACCACAGAGGTTGCAGCTTCATTCACATTACATGAGAAAACTGGTGCAAAGAAAAAGTAAAGGCAGGAAAAGGTGCTACCAGAGGTAAGTGCTACCCCCAGAACACAGGTGACAAAGTCCTGAACATTGCTTAAGATGGGCACATATTTAACCCTGAGCTTCCAAGCAGGCAAAGCATCAGGGAGTATAGCCTCAGAGTTGCCTGCATGGGCTATGAGTGAGACCTCTCCAAGATTCAAGTGCTTGCTCTAACACTTCCTAGCAGAATGGCTTGGGGAAGTTAAAGTTTGGGGGCCTCAGTTTGCTCACCTGTCAAATGGGAGTGATAATGGTACCATCTTCACAGGGCTATTGAGGGAACTCAAAGAAAAATATGTGAGGCTTTTGGTACAGGTACTGAAACATAGTAAGCCCTCAGCTAGTGGCATGCAAAGGTCTCAGGGCCTCCCTGGTAAACACAGGCCAGATGCCGAAAAGAACCACAACAATTCCTGTCCCTGAGACTAAGAGACAGTCATCCCCTGTGGATGATTATGTAGAGTCCATTGGATGACGTCATGGACAAGGTCCTCGACAGTATCCCATGGCAAATGTAACAGCAAGTATCACATGGCTGCATCTTGTGACATCTCCCAGGAAAGATTCATGGCATTATATTTATGTGCAGTCAACAGAGGCTCAAAGGAGTGGCCTGATCCATGTGTAAACTGCAGCTCAATGTTTCCATAATTCAGCCTCCAAAGCATAACATGATTTTGCTGGATTCTACTTCAAATAGAGCCATTTCTATTCCAATCTATTAATGGGCAAAAAGACCCAGAGAGGGCAGATGAATTGTCTAAGGATGCCCAGCTGGTAAGTGATAAAACTGAAATGTCATGCTTCCTGGCTCCCACGTAAGGCTGATTGAGCAACAGAATCTCTTGGGGAGCTTGTTAAACCTACATTAACTCAGGCCCCACCCCAAGGATCTGAACCCAGGGTTAACAAAACACCTCTCTTGCTTTGGCTGCTTAGAAGCTCAGAGTCAAATTTGCTGGAGATTTAGATTCAGTGGTTTCAGTGTGGGTCCACTAATTAAAAAGAAGAATTGTCTGAACTTTTTGAAGCTTTTTCTAAAGGAGCTTCATTACAAGTGTATGGAAATCACAGGCCATGGAAAAATCTATCCGAGACACCATAGAAGTTAAATTATCTCATACTTGACTGTCACAAGCCACACTTGTGTGACAGTTGTGGCTTTCACCATGATGCTCTGTCATCTACCTCTCAGTCTTTCTGTCTCTGTATTTCTGGGGCACCAAGGACAACAGTTGCCAGTGTATTTCCTAAAACACAGGAACTGAACTAACTCCTGCTATTTCTGGGCTAGGCTCAAGACACTCCCCAACTAGAACAAATGCAGCCCAGAGTGTCCCTCTTGGAGCACAGGGGAGCTAATCTAACCCTAGCAGAAAGCACGCTGGTCTCAAGTCCAGACACCAAGGATGAAAGGAATGTCACTCTGTAGTATGTTTCTGTATCTCTAGCCCTCTTCTGTGTATAAAGCACTAGGCATAATATCTGGCACACAGTAGATGCTCAATAAACTTTAGCTACTATTATTAGCAGCAAGAGGCTCTTAAATCACAGTGACAATACCACTCAGAATGAGAAGTGCCTCTTTCCCTGGGGTTCTGAAGCTCTTGAAATCCCACCCACAGGCAATATTCACAACCAATTCTATCCAACGCAGACAAAAGAGGGTGAACAACTCCCTGGGGTCATACACCTGCCAGCTCAGCTGGCCAAGAGGAGCTTCTGGGGTTCCAACAGGAGACCAGGACACAAGGGAAACACGGACTCAAGAGACTCGCAGAGAAATATTGCACCCAAGTTGATCTTTACTATCTTACAATTGTAAAACTATAACATTGTACTATGAATGTTCCTATTATCCCTGCACTGACTTCCATCCACACTGCTTCCCTCCACACCCACTTACAGGAGAGTCAAAGTCAAAGGATCCTCTTGGGAGGAGGTCCTTAGCCTTTCTCCAAACCGGACTGAGAATCAGTAGCCATTTCCAAGCTCATGGCATATTTAAAGTAAAAATGCTTTGTGTCTAATTGGAAATTGTCCAGACTAGAGTTGGTGGGTCCAACAGGGGGCCAGGCAACATCCTGTATACTTTACATGTGTTATTTAGTTTAGATAACCTTTAGAAAACTCTCCCATTTCAAAACATTGGATAAAATATAACAAATGTTGCTTTATATGCATAGCTGAGCTCACAAGAAAGCGAGATAAGTCCCCAGGGGACAAAAGCAAAGAGGAGACTGGAAAATCAGAATATTAACTGTATGAGCCAATGCTGCAAACAGCCCAGTGGAGGCGGGAAGTGGGGGCAGGGGCTGTTGGTCTCAGCATTTTGGTAAAGACTTAAGTTTTAAACACCCACTTGGGCATAGGAGGAAGGCTTTGGGCCCACATGAAGCATGGAATTGGAAAGGAGAACCTGCATAAAGTTAGGAAAAGTGAAACCTTTGATGAAAATGTAGACTAGAATAAAAAAATTAGTCATCACCACAGGCTGATGACAAGGAAGCTAGTCTGAAGTACAAGAACGGCGGGAAGGGAAAAGAGGCAAATCCCCTAAGAGTCTGTACCTACAAGCTGGTCCTCACACAGCTACAGTACCGTGTATCTGCATGAACCTTCATGGGCCACACCCCCAAAATTAAAAATTAACATAAAATCATCCCAAACCATGGATATTCTAACAGAAGCAACTGCAAAATATTTCCTGGGGAACTCACTCCTAAGCTGCTCATGCTTCTCACAGATAAATTTCCAATGAAGGTGAGTGTACTATGTGGGAGACAGCCTCTGACATAGCTCCTAATGATCTCTATCTCCTGGAACTCACACCCTTGTGTAATCCCTTTCTCATGAGTATAGACTGGACTTATTGGCCCACTTCTAATGAATGGAATATGGCAGACACAATGGGATATCACTTCTGAGATTAGGTTACAAACAGACCATGGCTTCCATCTTAGACACCTTTTCTTATTCTCTTTCTCTCAGAGCCTTTGCTCTGGGGGAGGCAAGCTGCTATGCTGTGAGTAGCCCTATAGTGAGTCCCACATAGAAGAAATTGATGTCCCTGGTCAGTAGCCAGCAAGAATCTGTAGCCTGCCAACCGCCATGTGAGTGAGCATGGAAGCAGATCTTCACCCAGTCAAGCCTTGAGATGCTGCAGCCTTGGCGAAAACCTTGATTGCAACTTTGTGAGGCACTTGACCCAGTCACACCCACAGCCAGGCTGCACTCAGGTTCCTGACCCACAGAAACTGTGAGACAATAAATACTCATTGTTTAAAGACACTACATTTGGGGATAACTTACATAGCAATAGAAAATACAAATTGTGACATAAACAAAAACCAAACTTTTATTGGGTTAAGCCATTGAGAATTCAAGATTTCTCTGTTATAGCAGCTAGTGCTACCCTAGCTAAAACAAAATAACTTTTAAATGATGTTTAAAAGTTCTAAACTTAAAAGATAAAACTGAAAACAGAAGAAAATAAGACTAAAGCAGGACAAAACTGTCAAAAACCACCATTTTATCACTCTGCAAATCAATAAAAGACATATGACAAAGAAACATGTATTCATAAAAATTACTGAACTTTGGGTAAGAATAGCATGACTCTATATTATCCTGAGGCTGCCCTCGTTCACCAGGTCCCCAACGCTATCAGTTGCAATACTTCAACAAACGTGGTGCCACATGTGAAAAATCAGCTGCTTCACTGCCTCTGCCAGGGGGCTCCACTTAATTTGGGGCATTGTCAGTTATAATATCAAGAACGGGGAAGGCCAGCAGCACTGTTAGGCTGGGTTTCAGCAATGTTTGGGCCAAACAATGGACTGGCAAACTAGCCAGGAATTTATCAGAAACTTCCAGGGGGTGAGACAGACCTAGGGAGTTTAATAAGCTCTCCACATAGTTTGGGTTAACTCGAAGCTGGGTGAATGCACAGCAGAGAGCAGAGAAGACTGAGCCACCCACACATCCCTAACGAATGGAGCCTATATACGTGTGCAGGGGAAATA